GTAGTGGTGTTGCATTCTGATCAGGCCTAATGTTTTATTTTGTCATTGAGAAAGTGGAAGCACTTTAAGGTAAGCAAGACTCTCCTCTTTCTCTTTTATCAAAGATGAGTGCTGATAAACAGCCTGTTCTCCATGTCACCCACTGTGTCCTGACAAGACGGTCCATGGCAGAGACATCGATTCCCAAGTCATATGATCTGAATGCGCACATGCTCCGTGGTGAGACTTGCTGACATTTCCATCAAAGTATCAAGAAAAGACGCACCAACACTGACAGCGACAATGAGACATGAGACACAGAGAGGAGAACGATCGCAGTGCTGAAAGGAAGCAGAGGCTGAGGGTCAGGAAGTTGCTGAGCTTTCTACAAGGCACAAGCAGCCATCTAGCTCCTGGGGATGAAGCCACTACTGATGAATGTGGGTCACTCTCCCTGGCTTCCAGTGCACGTTGTCTCTAGCCTTTATTTGGAGCCAGGGCATTTGAACACTGCATGGCGTACCCAGAGCTCTGGAGCACTACACATCTGTACCGTGAACACAGATGAAGATAATAGAAATATTGTTCATGTGTGTACAGCAATAATGCTGTGTTTACTTTAGCAAAAATGTAAAAGACACCAAAATTAAATTGGCAGCTCAATAATATTGACTAGATTTACATGAATGCAGTGTCATAGCTGCCCTTTAAATCCTGGTTCAGGTTAAAGCTACTCACATGAACTTTTGATTTCCTGTAACTAAGTATCCTTATAAATAAGTCTTTGAACACAATATTTTTGCAACTATATTGCAATTTTCCTCACAAGAGTCTTGTGGTGAAATGTAATTCTTCTTTATTTATTTTGGAACCAACCTAAACTTCACTATAAAATGATTATTTTCTGCAGAACACAATACTTTTTCTGCAAATCAAGTACAAGATATAATGAGTAAAACTGGACTGATGGAGTCACTATTGTGGTTGTATATCAATCAGTGACGGAGATGTGAAAATACTGCAGCTAATTAAACACAAGGCTTTTAAATAATATTTAAAGTGCAAAGGAAACTCATCTGGAAAAGCAGTATCAGTCTACACCAGGACAAGCAGAGCGTGCAAGATAACGTTAAATACAGCTATGCATATTTTTATTGCATCACCATGGTAACTAAATTTGACACTCCCCATCCTACTACATGGTATATACTCATGATACACACACTTTGCATTTCTGACAGTGTTACTGTGGCTGCAGGAAGATGTAAGCACATTCCACAAGTTACCAGACTCTGCCATCTGTCTGCCTGGCATGCCACCACCTGCAAAGAGATCTTCAGGCCTGGACAGGTGAAAAAAAGAGGGAAACTGGAAGGAATAATGGAGGGAAAGGGAGGAACAAGAGGCCCTCTGATTCATCTTTAAAGATGCTTCTTATTGCATCTTTAATCATCTCCCTCCACATGTAGAGACGACTCGACACTTGGCTACCAGAACTACTGAATATACAGCCTATTGACTCAAGTCACTCAGGAGGCTCAAACTGGACTTTCTTCTCTCTGCCTAAACTCTTTTTAACTCTCCTAATTTATCACTCCTCATTTCCATCCCTGTGAGATGTCAGACAGGCAGCCTGCCTAAGATTTGCAGCGATGTACAGATGCTAACATGGTCAGCTAAATATTTCAAGAGGCAGGGGATATGACAAAGTCTTCTCCTTGTGCTACAAAGCCTTGCTATAACTTTGTTATGCCATGTCTTGACAGACAGATTCCCACAGCCACTCTTTTCTCTGATTTAATGAAACTATTTTGTTATCCTGACTTTAGAGGAAGGTGAATATCAGTAAAAGAGAAGAACATTGTCAGGCAGAGACTGCATTATGGAAGACTATGTGAAAACAGAATATTATGACTGGCATTAGATCATACATTTTACAAGGGAGTGTAAATGCTTTGCTGATGGCCTTGAAGCAAAACACTTGGGATTCCTGGGGGTTGAGACTTTGATAATGAATGGTTAGTACTCTAGTGTGACTACTGGAAAGAGGACTGTTAGAATATCTGTAAATACACATAAACAGCAACTCCAAAGCATTAAATCATGAATTAATTTCAGATTTCAGCTCCCCTCAGGACCCTGCTGATTCCATGAAAACTGGCTAGGTTGAACATGCACCTTCCTTTCCATACTAATGCAGACAAGATGTGGGGCTCAAAATTACATCAACCAGAATGAAATGGGCCATAGATCCGCTTTTCCAAATTATACACAAACTGTCCATCTTCTGAATTTTGCATATGACCATGTTTGCTGAGGGTAACACAGGGCAACAGGACAGGTTTCACCACCATCTGTGCAATCCAACTACCCAAGAAGTGCACTGAAATTATAATGCAAAAGTCAAAAGTTGGAGTTGTTGCCTCTTGACTAAACATTTTGTAATTGGTCTTGCAGAACTATTATAATTCCCCAAAGGGTATAATAGTAAAATGAAAGCTTCATTAGATAGATATCAAATCTTTCAAGTTGAAGGGTATGTAATACAAAAACTGTTTCACTGTTTAAATCATATAAATTATATAATAATATTTTATTATATACTGTGGGCAGAGGTACAGCACATAACATATAACCTTATTAAAGCTTATTTATATTACAGCTTTTGAATCCACAAATGCACCAAAGGAGTGTTATGAGGTTGTTATCAAGGATTTATCAGCAGCCTATGAAGAATAATTACATCAAGTTACAGTATATAGTACATGTCGACTGGAAAAGCTCACTATTGCCAAAAGCACAAAACATATAACCTTATTAAAGCTTATTTATATTACAGCTTTTGAATCCACAAATGCACCAAAGGAGTGTTATGAGGTTGTTATCAAGGATTTATCAGCAGCCTATGAAGAATAATTACATCAAGTTACAGTATATAGTACATGTCGACTGGAAAAGCTCACTATTGCCAACATATGAAAGAATAGTACTTTTTTGATAAAAAGTACTATTACTGAACCTGTAAAGGTTTTATTTTAGGGGCAATCACTATTAATTAATCATTTATGCAGGGAGAAATAATACTGGCTTAATGAATTATTGCAGCCTAATTATTATTCTGCAGATCCCTACATTAAAATCGTTGTGGATTATTTATGGATTGTTAAGATTAAAACAATCATTAATGATGTGTTTCATCATCATTCCTGAAGGTAGTCAGTGATGGGTTCCTCACTTTTCTGTTTTCCCTGCTGCCTTCACGTTTATGAGCAGAGCAAAACTTATTTTCCTCAGACTTTGTCAAGTGCAAATAATCATTTATTCTCTAACCCGGAATATTGTGTTGACAGCCGAGGAGAGCAAAGAAGTGCAGAGACTAGAGTCAAGCTGAGCCTCATGTTCCCTCGGTTCTATTAGGGTAGGACTCGGAAATGTTATGTCGGAAAATCCAAAAATCTCCTTTAAAACATTTTCAAAATCTTTTTTGTATTATATTTTATACTTAACATTGTGCATTTTGCTAGAGACAAAACTCGCTCCAGGTGACCCATCTTGACAAATACTTAAGCAACTATAATCAATAATACAATTCTTTATTGGCAAAGTGGAAAACATTCTGAGAATGTGAAACAGAGCTTGCAACAAATGAAAGCTGCTATGAATGCACCATGTAGTTCAGTATCAACTGGGCTGAAACATATAAAACATTGTAGAAGCCTTTGATTTTTCCTAGATGAACAATATGCACCCACATAAAGTTCAGTTATTTTCATTTGATGGGCTTTTGCTATTTATACGTATGCTAATAAAAAGACATAGGCAATATGGGAATAAATTAAATGTATTTAAATTCACTCATTCCTTTCATTCCAGCTCTACAGGAGTCAATATTAAGTGCTCATTAAATATTACTCTGTTAATGGTTAATGTAAGATGTCATTGTAGAATTTAATGTTAAAAAAAAAGACTGCACTGAGTTCAGTGGGTTTTTCCAGTTAAAACAGGTATTATATGTACTTATTGTTTGTTTTTGTAGACATATTTCTTAGAAGATGAGCACTAGGTATTATTACTTTGAGGTGAAGATATGAAGTATATTGCTGCGGGCATAACTACATAGATGTGTTGAAAGATGTTAAAAAATAATATCAATAATCAATAACAATATTGTTTCCCACATTGTGAAATCAGTTTGTTCTCTAATCAGTAAAGGTGTACAAGCATGAAGCACCCTGGTGTAGTGTTGCAGGGCATTTCATTGTGTGATCCATAATCATTACCTGCTCTGCTTTAAAGACAAAGTGCTTTGAGCAGCAGTTCACTGAAAATTATTCATACAGTCTCTCAGTGTTAGGCCTCCACTTCAAAAGGTGACGCAGACAGTGCAGCTACACTTTAACCCTGTCTTCCACTCTTTATCTAGCCGGACTTTAATTACTACTGGCATGTCACTTGGTTCAGTGAAGGAGAAATTAATGAGAAGGAGGAAATGTGTGATTACATACTCATTAGGCTCTTTAGACCTAAAATGAACATAAATGCATCGCAACTCATGTGCTTGAACGCTCAAAAAGTACTGTATGGACTAGGATCACATAACCATGACCAAAATTACATGCACGCCATGATCATATCATTAAATGCTGCAATAAATTTTGATGTTATAGAAAAGCCTTTATCTACAGTTATTATGCTGCTTTAAACGAGGCCATGAAGACATCTGGTGTGATGATAATTGTTCCATTTTGCTGTTTAAACATGAATAACATACAATATATTTCTTAAAAGCTTGTCCACTCAGGACTTCACAAGATGCAGCATTCACAATGTATACTGTAGTTTACATGAGGTCTTGCTACACTAATTGCAAGCAGTTATGGGTAAGCATAATTATAAAAAGACATGCAATTTTTGCCTGAATGGAAATTATTAATGTTGGCTGAGGTCTACTGGGAAGCAGGCAAACAGAATGAATTTAATAACAATACACATTTTTAGCATACATTTTAAAGGAGACTTACTTGATGCTGAACTGTTCAACAGTGGAGTTGGGCATCAAGTACAGGAAGATTTTGAGGGTCTCGCCAGGTTTCAGGGGCTTCTCAGGAAGCCTGAGGAACATGTTCTTGTCTAACTGCTTGTCTACCAGCAGCTGCTCCTGACTGGCCTGGTACAGACTGATGCTCCCAATGCGCAGCAGGGGGTGCTGTGACAGAGGCTCTCCCCTGGAAACACTACCACTCCTATGAACTGAGGCCTCGTTACACTCCCCTTCCAGATTAGGCTCGTGGAGTGTGTAATAGAGCTCAGCCTGGAGAGTCTCACTGATTAGCCCATCCAAGAGCCCATCATTGGAGCCTTTCCTCCGACCCAGCGGGGCAACATTGGTGTTAAACCAAGATGGAGGCAGCTCCAGCTGCGCCAAGCACTGTGCAAGGTTGCCTCTCATGCGACAGGATGTTTTAATTTCACGGACATCCCGGAAGGCATGCAAACGGACGCAGGGCATCTTGTCATGAGCCTTAAAGTCATCCCAGTCACGACCAGCAATATAAAAAAACACCTGGACTGTGGGGTTGTTAGAGAAGACCCGGGCCTGGACAATGAAAGACCGCACTTTCCAGTTGACTGTCAGCTGGCCGGGAATATCTAGTGGACTAGCTGGCTGGAGCAACTCCTTGGACAGGGCCTGGTCCCGGGCAAAAGGCCCATAGCTTATGTTGATGGCAGGGAGGTCCTTCGTCTGGAAAACCACAAAACTCTCAGAGCGCTGCAGCGGGTTTCCAGGGCTGGGGCTACTGCTGCTCTTACTGCTGCCTCCAACTGTTTGTCCCGTGATCTGAGCCTCGCGCAAAAAGAAAGCCAGCTGTGCATTGGACATTTTAAAGTTGGCAGGAAGGTACAAATTGGGTGGTGAAGCACTGGCTGTCATTGCTGAGGAACGGAGGAGGGCATCTGAGCTGGTTGGAGAGATCTTACCTGCAAGAGCTGTGAAGACAGAAAGGAGAAGGGGGAGGTTAAACTTTTAAATACAGTATCTCTTTTGATTTTTGTTTTAACAGTAATGAATATAGAAGAGTTACAGTTTGAAAGAAAGTAACACAAGACGAGGGATCACTTAAAAAACAATTAAGGTGTAAGCAGTAAGTCACAGGGGTCTGCTGGACTCATGGGAGAAAAGGTCACCATACACTAATAAGATGATAACTGGCCAATACATGTCAAGCATCCAGTGAAACATGTTGGTGACATTACCAAGGTGCACATCAATGATATTTATCTGGGAGGCAACAACACATTCAATCAGAGTTTGGCTTTGTAATAATTTGAACTGAAACACACAATAAATTCTTTAAAAATTGCCAAAGATACAAACTCACAGAGGGCAAAAGAAAACCAAGTTAGACAATACATTTAGAAATGTGTTCATATTTAAACAGTAGAGTATATTCATTGTTATCCAACATACTGCACTGCACTTGTTAAGGAAACACAAGTCACCATAGCTTAACACCTAAGTGGCTACAGTGAAATCAAAGTACAGTAGGGTAAAAAAAAAGCATAACATACTTAGCAAAATTACCCACAGCTGAGCACAAAAACATAGTTTCCTGTCCCCGTGGTCCAAATCAGAGATTAAAAGTCCCATATTCCAAATGGTTTTACCATTGAAATCTCATCCTTTAAATGTAAAGTGAAAAAAATCAAGAAGATCTTTTTGAAATCCACAGAAGAAAAGCCTCTTCAGTAGGTTGTATTACTCAGCAGGCACTCCACAGAAGTTTGTCTTCTTTTTTGGATTCTCTTTGTAAAGCTTTGTTGTGTTAAAAAAGAAAGAATAAATCAGAGTGAAAAAAGAAAACAGCAATACACCCTGGCACTTCTTCACTTGGGCATGCTCTTGCTGCTGACTACAAAGGTTCCACCGAGCTTCTTGAACTTGTGCTTGTCTAATTCCCCGTGGCTTAAGTCCTGGTTTAAGAGTAACTCAGCCCCACGCAGCGGCTCTTTCAATCCCAGACTGTGCATGGCTCCAGGACAGACTCTGACAGACAGGCAGAGCCTCCTCCTGGTTGGTGGGCTGTACAGGAACTACAGACAAAGCCTCTGACACCGCCCCATTTTGCCACACCTAGTCTCTAGACTATAATCACCATTTTAGCTCCTGGTCAGAGCTAAGGCACACAGTCCTCAGAGGACTCAACTTACACCACACACACTGACACACACACACGGAGGTGAAAGAAATAACACTCTCCAGCTCGAATCATCCTCTCCCTCTGGACATGTTCATGCAGACTCTTATGTGTGTGTGCGTATGTAAGTGTGAGTCTAAGTACTGGGTGTGTGCATGAGGTGGGATGGGGGATGGATGTATTGCTTGAATGCCTCCAGGCAGAGTGAGAGGGAGAAAAGGAGAGGGAGGGATTAGGTAAAGATTATTGATGAATTAGCCTAGTTCTCCTTCCCTTCTCCTCCTCCATCTTGCCCTTACTCTAGTCCTCCTCCCCCTCCTCTTCCCTCACTTTCGTCGGCTTAGCCCCCTGAGAAATCCATGAGAATAAGGGGATACTGGCCAGAGGGGGAGGGGTATCTGTGCTGCCTCCCTGTTTCACTCACATGTGCTTGGAATGTCTATAATAAAAGAGAGAGAGAGATCCATAGACATGTGTGCACTTGTGTGTGTGTGTGTGTGTGTGTGTGTGGGCCCCATGAACTGAATGGCAAACAGCGGGGGCAACAAAAGATGAAGCCGCAGCCAGGGAAACATCCCACACTTACAAATGAGCAGCCGTAGCCATAGAGAAAGCTGGAGGAACTATAATGATGAGAGAAGCTACTTAGAGGCTGTCTAGTCTTTATCGACCGAAGGCTCTCTATCCCACAGGAATGTATGCGTGTTTGGAGAGAAGAAATGCTCTCGGCTTGATCAAAATTAAAAGCGACAAATAATGCACAACAATCTACAAACTTCCATGAGGGTTCCTCTACCAAATTGCCATATGTTTTATTCTCCTGGGTCTAAACACAGAGCCATTATTCATTATTCCACCATTACTGCATATTTCACCAGTTACATGACAACAAAATTATAAGACTCTACTACCAACCCTAGCCTTAGGACAAGAGAGAATGTGTGCCTCACATATAAGAATATGCTTGGTATGCTTCCCAGTGTTAATAAGAGGCGTGTTTTTTCCTCTTCACCATTTAAAGCATTATATGATTTTATTGTAATGTTGAAAAAGTAAGTTGATATCGGAACAGGATTATCCACCACTTTCCTCCGTCTATCTCATGATGTCTTGAGGCGGTAGTAGCCTAGAGCTCTGAGAATCCTTGAGTCCCCAGACCTGCTGGGACTTTTAAAAGTGAATGCGTAACATTCTCCTCTGCCTCCAAAACTACTGTCAAGGTAGCCTTGAGCAAAGCACTTAAAGGAATGTGTCTCCATGTGTTCCACAAGCACCCGCTGCTGGCCAAACAGCCCAAAACAAAATGGTTTCCAGCTTGCTACTGTTTTAAATGGTAATTTGGTTTTTAAAGTAGTTTGCTTCTGACTTGGCAGTGTCCACTGAATGTCTCTCCTGCATCTGTTCGTTCAAACACAAATAGGCTGTAGGGCCACACCAGGAAACCTGAGGAAACACTGTGATTTGCTGGTGGATCAACTCAAACAGGCTATAGCAGGGGCAGAGAGTAAGTGAAGAAGGAATCGCACTGGGGCGATGTGAAGCAATTACTGTAGATGCTGGTAAAATATGTAAAAATAATTCTAATTCAAAAAACTCTTTTCAGAGGACTGTAACTTGTTGAATTTACACTTTTAGTACAATTATACTGGAAATATGATTTCAATATTTAGTCACTTTTTATTTTAAGTTATAATTTACAATATGAGAATACTGTAAACAGTATTAGACATACACATCTTTCCTCACTTTCTGCTATGATAATGAATATTAGACATGTTTCTTTATTCAAATGTGCTGTGTTTAATGCCCATTACTGTGACAGCTATATTTGATCAACTAAATATGATTTATCACTTAATAGCAGTTTTATATTTGCATTATTAGTTTTGCATGTACTGTATTTGAGAATAAATCCTTTGACTGAATGCTGTATAAGATGACAAAATGTCCATAACCGTCCATAAATAGTCATGTTGCATTCATGAGCAGAGCCAAGGGGGTGGCCAGGGGTGTGCTAGCCACCCCTGGGGGAACCACTGTGCAGGAGTGATGACCGTGGCTGGAAGTAAATACAGTGCGCAGCAAATGTAAAGAAAAGTTAGAGAAAGCATTAGTATGTCTCATTTTTACACAAAATAAACAATTTCATTCTTAATAATGTATTGTTTTATTATTTCATAGAACTAGGTTTTCTTTTTTTACATGTATTTCAAATGCGCCAGCCCTCTCTGAGTCTGGGCCCCATCCTGGCAACCGAGTCCAAAATTTTCTAGATCCACCCATGGTTCCCTCATCTGGTATTGGATGTTGCTAGAACAAAGTACATTGCAAAAAGAAGTGAGCATACTATGCCAAAAGCACAATGGTTTGTTGCCTCTGGCAAAATTCTAAGGACTGTGTACCAACAGTGATACCAATCCTTTCATGTTATGCCTGAAGATGACCTGGCTAGCGGCCAAGAGTCTCCTAATCCGACTTAAATGCAATGAAACAGTACAATAACAATACATGCACTGAATGCCACAGAGCAAAACAAATCCTTGCTCCTTGCTCTCAAACTAGAGGCCTTATGGAGTCATCTGAAAAGGTGATTACAGCCTATGATGCATCGGGGTGCTCTTGTCTCATTTCATGCTTACATCATCACTGGGTAGGTAGGTTCGAAGGCAAGCATGGACACAGATGGGTTTCCAGTGTGAAACCCTATCGCCTTTCTCTTCAACTTGATGCCCTATTAGCCCTCAGGCCAAATTGAATTGAATTCTCTTCCTGTTGTGCTCCCATTATGTGAAACATCTGCTCTGTGTGTATGTGAATGTCATAGGGGAATGAATGGGTGTCTCCTCTAAGCACACTTTCTGTTCATCAGATTACTATGGCTGATGTCAGTTAATGAAAGTATGGGGCACTAGGAAGCAGAAGCAGTGCTGTTCCACTTCTGCTGTTATACCATTTATAGTCTGCAAAGACTGACAAAGAGAATGTTAATATTCTAGCGTTAATACTGCTCATTTCTCCCAGCGGAGAAGTTTACCATCAGTCCACTTACTTGAGTTTTCTTTAGTTTTCATACTAGACTAACTTTGAAACACACCTAAAACAAGTTTTCTTTTCTCCAAAGCTAATGCAGGCAGGCTTCTGGCAACACATTTGTCACCATTCTCACAAACAGCAAGACATTGGAACTCTTAACTTGTACTGAGAATAAAATCACTGGGTCTGAACATAACTTTGCACTTCTTCTACTGGTGGGAGAAAAATCTTTAGAGCAAAAAATTGGGAAAAAACACATAGTAAACATATATTCCTAGTATATTACAGTTTATAGTTGTGCAAGCAGATACACTTTCAACCTATAGATTCCACTTGTGTTTAAGAACTGTCCTCATTGCAACCATGATATTCCAGAGATTCAAATTTCTAATGATCTGTTGTGCGCCTGTCTAACCACCTCAAAAACATTCAGCAAACTGAAAATAAACTGCTTTGTCCCATAGCTCCACACTTAGATAGAACACCTAGCAGTATGCATTGCTGCTCACACAAAAGCTGTTAAAGATAAAAGTTGCTGCCAAGTCAAGGTGAAAAAATAGAGAGGGTGTTAGGAGGAGGGCAGATATTTGATCCTGAGAAAGAGAAGTGCATAAACGTCTCTTCAAGAAAAAGGTCAGGAAAAATTGTTGAGTGGGTTTAGAAAGATGGAGCATCCTTACAGCATCACTAATGTTCCAACACCAAGGATTTCCCTATCGATCTTTCTCAGCCTTCCTTCCCTCCTTTCTTTTACTTTGCTTTGAGTATACTTCTAATACAATATAATTGGAATGGTGAAATAATACTTCAGTTCAGTTCACTCACCAAAATACATAGCACTGTTCTACAACCTATGTCACAGTATGAGAATACACTTAAATACTATTCATATGCTTTTCTCAGCTTTTAATTTCAGAACTGTGGACACATATTTCACTTTTGCTGAGACTTTACAAATAAAGACCCATGATCTAAAATGATTCACATTATCATTCAATTAGCTACGAATGCAACAAAAAGTGCAGATGAAACGATATGTTAGCCCTTGAAACACTGATGTTATCCTATTTTTGCCCCTCTCTGAGGAATGTCTATTTCCATCTCACTTAGACCTAGATTACCTTCAGAAATGGACTGCAGCTGGATTATCTCAGACACGCTCAAACTGTGTGAGGCTTTATATTTCATCAGTTTTCATATGTATTCAGTAATTACATTCATGTTTGGGTGTCACTAGGGAAGTTTTTCCAGCCCATGTGTTTGCATGAAATGAAATCACTTAGCTGAATTAGAGTAAAGCAGCATACATCAGCCATTCTTCAGACTATTTGTTATAAATCTCACAACATTATATGTCCCCTGAGGCATGCACACGTCTAACACATTTCCCTCAGATTAAACATATCCAGGATGTAAATGAGCGTGTCAGAAATCACATCACGTGAAACTGACATCACAATAGAGCTGAAACAAAGATATGTAACCAAATTAAGTCCATGGTCCATGGTTGCAGCATGGGTGCTCTCTGGCTCTGCAGCGGGCACATCATGAAATGACCATAAGCAGTATTTACAATGAAGATGAAATGTAAAGACTAAAGCTTGTTGGATGTTTTCTTCAGGTGCTTTTTCTCATTTATTACATTTATGGGTGAACAATGCATCAACCAGAATATGTGATTATTTTTATATATAACGAAACGGTCTTCAATCCAGATTTTACAAGACAAATAAAAAAGGCTAATGAGCTGCCAAACCTACAAACATAAAAGACAGATGCAATAACTGACAGATGCAATTTCTTTTGACT